AATGCATCAAAATATTAGTCATTTTTACCTTATCGTTAATAATTTTGTAACTCTTTTTTTAGTTAAAAACTTAAAATACTAAAGTCTTGCAATGTTGACCTTCATGTGAGCCTTCCAAGTCAGTATCATGTTGCCAAATCAATATTGCTAGCAATTGATGATAGAAAGTTAACATTTGTTTAATTATTAGTAATTTAGTAAGGTTGACTAATAAAAAAGAAGGCGAAAAAAGTCTGGCTAATAATTAGTATTTACCCTACTAATATACTAATTATAATCCAACAAACAAAAGTAGGCATGTCTTTTGACAGGCTAATAATTTAGCACCATCCTAACTACCATCTAAACCCTCCGTCTCTCTATTTCACATCTAATGACTACAAATATAAAAAGGATATAATAGTAAAACTAAATATTAAATTGCAAATTTGTCACATCCCGATATCTAAAACCCTTAAATAACAGTTTTGCTCCGGAGCATATCTAAAATTTTGAAAGAGAGAAACAATAATGTACTCGAAATACCAATACTGAAAATACATCTTATAATTTAAAAGCAAAGCCCTAACATTTGGGCAAACCTCAATCCATAAAGTCTCATCCTTTTAAATCTCCAGTCATTACTCATGATCATAAAGCAAATAACTAAAGATTACAAACGCTGCTTACTCCGATCTGTGGTCAGACATCTTCAGAAGTGCTCACGTGGTCCTCCTCGGGTAGCCTGCTCTCTCACTGGATGCTCCTCGACTGGATGCTCCCTAGCTCCTCCTCTACGACCTGGTGAGTGGGTTGGGGTCAGTCTACGCCATTACTTAAACTTGAAGCACTTACGGGTGTTCCCTTAAGTGTTCACCTCAAAACTTGTGGAAGTTGTTCATACTTCCACCCTTTAAATTTTAACCCTTAAAAACGTGGGAGTTGTTGTTACTCGCCACCCTCAAAAAATCTTAAACCTTTGACCGACACTGGGACCCCCTCACTAACTAGTCCAACCGCCCAGCTCATACGTATGAGGGCCAACATAGGCCTTTCCTTAAACCTTTTTATGGGAGTAATCTATTCAACCCCATAAACCTTAAGAGTATATCATACTCTTCCTTTAAACTTCATGTGATGTCTAAGTGATTCATCCACATGTTCCTTAAGAGCAAACTTGCTCTTCCTTTAAACTTTCACTGGGGCGGGGGACTGGCGTTAGTGAACTACCTTTAAATCTTTTCACCCTAATCTAATTAGGAGTGAAATACCTCTTAAATGTTGATCCTTAAAGATCAAGCAACCTTCATTAAATAACATAAATATAAAAGCTTCAAGTAAATACTGACAGCTCAATAATCATATACTTCACAATCATAACTCAAATAGAGCATCTCAGATAATATCTCAAATAGAACATGCTTTATCAATCACGACATAAATCAATAACTGGCAAGGTTCAAAAAGGCGCTAGGCGTAAGGCGGGCGTTGAGCCTTTGCCTTGCGCCTAGCTCGCCTTGGCGTTGACTAAGCGTGCCTAGGCGTTGGAAGAAAATAGCTATTCGCAGTGCATGATGAATGAAATAATAATCTATAACACTTCCTCACATTAGTTAAAATGATTAATAACTTACTCAGCACTTAATGACAGGAATATAGCTTACAAGTTCATAGAATCATAGCTCAATAGTTCACAAAGTTCTTGAGCTATTGAAAATATTGCAATAGAAACTTGATTTCATAGTTGATGTTAATTTTGGTATTTAATATTGGCTTCTTAGCTCCATCTAGTAATGTTTAGGAGAGACTTATATGTCGCCGTACTCCATTAACGTGTTCCAGTATCTAATTAGGCGCGAAATCCCTAGGCGAGGCGTTTTGTCATTGCCTTGCGCCTAGGCGTGCCTAAGCGTAAGATTAAGCATGCCTTTTTGAACCATGATAACTGGCATACAATTCATATAAACACACATACGTAAAACTCATAAGTCAAATATTTGAAAATACGTAAGGCGTAGAATTTACCCCCTTAAACCACTCACCAGGTCGTAGAGGAGGAGCTAGGGAGCATCCAGTCGAGGAGCATCCAGTGAGAGAGCAGGCTACCCGAGGAGGACCACGTGAGCACTTCTGAAGATGTCTGACCACGGATCGGAGTAAGCAGCGTTTGTAATCTTTAGTTATTTGCTTTATGATCATGAGTAATGACTGGAGATTTAAAAGGATGAGACTTTATGGATTGAGGTTTGCCCAAATGTTAGGGCTTTGCTTTTAAATTATAAGATGTATTTTCAGTATTGGTATTTCGAGTACATTATTGTTTCTTTCTTTCAAAATTTTAAATATGCTCCGGAGCAAAACTGTTATTTAAGGGTTTTAGATATCGGGACGTGACAAAATTTAAATATGTTTATAGAGGAAGCATGCGAATTTTGGGGGATTATCGTGCGGATTTTGGGGGATTGCCACTATCGGGTGATTTCTGTAATGACCCGATCTTTTGAAGCCGGTTGAAAACTCAAATGAAAGGCCCTAAACATTTGAGCAACCTCAATCCAAAACACTTCAAACATAACCCTTGAGTTTCCAGTATACTTAGGAAGACATGAAATAAAGATAGAAATAAAATGGTCTCATCTCGTTACTCTGATCCTTCTGACATCCTCAAAGGTGCCACGGCTGCTCTCCTCGGTTAGCCTCCTCTTGATGGTCACGACTTCTTCTCCTCTCTACACTTGGTGAGTGAGAAGGGGCCAGCCTCGTCGTTACTTCCTAAGGTCTTGCTCTAAGAAAGCTCCTTACTAAAACACATTATTAGTGTTTGCGTTCATTAGATGAAAGTCGTTCTCGCCTCCATCCTCAAAACCTTATTTCAACGTTAGCTCATAGAAGTTCTTGACTTCTATCCCTAACTCATAGAAGATCTCTACTTCTATCTTTAACTCATAGAAGATCTTTACTTCCATCGTTAACTCATACACATATCACTAGGGACCATCGCGTTACGTATCGTTGTCCAGTGTCACTACCCTAGTATGCCAACCGAGTTACGTCTCGCCGTCCGGTTGCATACCCAACTCCGCAATGGCACTGCGTTATGTCTCACCTTCCAGTCCAACTATTGCGTTACGTCTTGTCATCTCGTCCATGACCTCGAAAAGATGACTCCTTGATTCCTCACTCAAAGAAATCTATAAATCCGAAATTCATTTTTAGATGACCTTTCTCGCTTTAAAACCTTTCTTGATTTACCAGAACACCCTCTCCTAAAAATCCAATCCATGAACCTCTTTCTGAAGAATTCTTTAAGATTTCTAAAGAAATAACCCCTTTCAAAATCGACATTTTTTAATTAAATTATTCTTGCACGAATTTTCCACCCTACTTTAAACCTCCTTAAAACTCCAGAATATATTTTTTCCAGGTCTACCATAAGCTTTAGTCTACCAAAAAATTATCGGATTCTAAAAACACCTCGGAATTATTTTTAATTAATTGAAATCAATATCGAATAATTTCTAAAAATAGTAATTCATCTCCAAAAATCCGCAAATTAAATTACAAGCACCTCCTTGATCTTATTTCATTTATAAAATGGTTAAACTCAGAAAACACCACCTGAAGTGGCTCGAAATAATTAAAACAACTTCAATCACATTTTTGGGAATTCCCAGCAGATTTAGTGACCACCCAAAATCTGTCACTAAAAGTTTGTAAAATTGTCGCTAAAAATCCAGAATTGCACCCTCACGAGAATCACACGAAAACTCAATTAGATTTGAAGGAATAAGATTTCCTTACCTATAGAACGTGCCTAGGTCCATATTCAATAACCTTGGACGTCGATTTCCTCGTCTCTGCCTTCGATTAAAACCCGATTCCTTGACGTCTAGCTACGGTTCACGATTGATGGGTTCGGGTTAGTTTGATTGATCAAACAAACTTGGAAATGACTTGGGATTATCGTTTTTACCTTTTTGGAAAATACGGCTGACTCGACCCCACCGCTGTCATGCGAGATCGACGAGGGAAGGGTCAATGTGGGAGGTGCAAGGGGATGGGGAGATCAGCTGGGGGGTTCCTTTTTCCCTCTGCTGCTTGCGCTGGCGTCGCGAGAGGCTTAGTGGATTGTGGTCAGGTCGAGGAAAAAGGTTGGAGGAGGATTTGCTGTGCTCTTCATGTGTTAGCGAGGGTTATAGGGTATAACTATTAGGTTTAGGGACGGGTGGGGTGAGGATTAATGCGGTTGGAGAATTTGTGATGGGGAAAAAGATAGTGAGGGTCGAGAGCCCTCTTGGCCGGTTCCTTTTTTTAATAATAATAAATAATATATTATTATTATTATTATTCCTAACCCACGGTTGCAACACTTCGTATTTAACCGTCAACCCAACCATTTATCTGTTATGGTCGAACCCGAACCCAAATATCATGGTGTTACAGTTTCTATTCTGAATTTGGTGTCGGAGTTTTGTTTTCAATTTTTTCTGATTTTGAATGTAGTGTGCCAGTGACATCACCAAGTCTAGCAAAAGGCTTCTACTACTGGAAACCTAATACTACAACAATTTGATACAAAATTACTACAAATATTATTTTTTTTCAAAGCTGAAAATCACTACAAAACATACATAACAAGTAACAGAACTATTACTACATAGAACTAAAATCACTACTAAACAGGCCTACTAACTTTCACTACTAAAATTAAAAACACTACTAAACGGAACTGAAAATCACTACTGAAATTAAAAACACCACTATAACTCTGCACACAATCATGAATCAGTACTAACCTTCACAATCACTACTCACCAAGATCTGAAAACACTACTGAAGAAACAATACTACTACCTTTGCATACTACTAGTCTTGAAAATCACTACTAATCTAGATCTAAACAATGAGTAGGCAAGAAATAGCCAGATCTGAAATTCTAAACCCATACGACGACGATGCAGGTTAGGACGGCGAAGGCCGCGCCGATACAGACAATGGCATAGGTGAGGCTAGAGTTGACGATGGCGAGCAGGGTAGACCGTTGCGAGGAGAGTGGAGGCCACCCAGATGCACACGATGGCGGCGCATGCGAGGCTGAAACAGATGATGACATAGTCAAGGCCGATACGGATGACGGGGAGGACAGAAGCGGCGAGGGAGAAATAATCGACGATGACAAGGCTTTTCAATGTTCTGACAGATCATTGAGCAAAAGAGAGAGGGACGACTAGAGAGGAAAAATGGGGAAAAAAATAAAAAATAGATGAAAGTGAAGGAGGGACGGTTGAGTTTCTTCCCAAATACCGAACAACACAATTGGGATTACCTGTGCACCTACCAAAAATGCCCTTTTAACAAACTCACCGTTAGATTTACGAAAAAATAAAAGAACGTAGATGGAATTAATTATTACGGTGCTAACTTAATTGATGGAATTAATTATTACGGATCTATGATTGTAATAATTTCTTCTTCTTGTACTGAAGTGAAGTGGGTGGTGCATTGGAAAATATTGGTGATGGATGATGTTTGTTTGGCCCTAACTCATTTGGTATAGGTTTACCATTACCAAAGGAGTGGCTGTGAGAGTATTAAATCCAAATGTTTTTGGTTGTGGTTGTTGCTGGCGTCGAGCGCGAGATGCCTCCCCCTCTTTGAGGCTTCTTCCTCCCCTGCTCACCTGAAACCCTAAATCGACTTTTGCCAAGAACAGGTGAAGAACAAAGAAGAACTAGAAGAAATCTACGAAGTGTAAACAGTAAAGAAGAGAAGTATGATTTGGGTCTATCTTTTTCTGTGAATGGGCTTGGTTCCTTTGACCCAGTCAGTTGTTTGTTCCGGCCCAAAAGTATTACACTGTCAAGTTATTATTCCCAAAGCTGTGCGTTTCGAAATTGCAGACCCAAATCCTTCTTCTTGTTTCTCTGAATCAAATCCCCTGTTTGCAGATTAACACACTGAAACTTGCAGAAGCAAAGTAAGTTTTGAGCACAAGCTATAATCAATAAAGGATAAATGAACACACTCACTTTTTACGTGGTTTCCAGAGCTGGGTAAAAATGAATCCCAACTCTGAGTATTCCATGGTCGAAGATTACGTTGAGGTGATTTCTGACATTCCACTAAGCTCGAAGTTCCTTGAAGTTTCACAAGCATACAACATCGAAATCAAAAAATCCAATCCTGGAAAGTTGATTGATTCGACTCAACCCTGATATGTCACCCAGCTATCTAGCTACTGTGTTTTAATCAACACACCCCTAACCCAAATTCTCTCCAGAAGATGAATTAGTCCCTCTTTTCTTATCAATCACACTAGCTATGATCTTAGCTCTCCCTGTATGAGTGGTCTCCCGAAAAGTGCCCATCTACTTGCTTCATTCAGCCTTTTATTCTGGAACTATTGTGCCGTTACTCCTTGCCTTCCTTTTCTTCCTTGAATTGGTTTATGGTAAGCACTTGAAAACTTTCCTTCTTGTATTTTAAGACCGTTCCCAGCATTCTTGTTCTTCACAAAACTTAAGCACGTTTTAGCCCTTTTGACAAGCTACTTCTAACATTCTCCCCCTCAGCTTGTCAATGATTCTTTCTACTGTACCTGTGGTTCCTGCACACACTTCAACAAAACGATTACGTGCAGATTGCTCCACCAATTCTTATAAACACACAATGATATACTATGATCAGATGAGAGACACACAAGAGGAGTTCTTTTATTTCAAGACAACATCAATCGATTCTAGAACAAAGCCGACTCTAGAAAAATTAGACACAACTCGATGACTGACTTCCTAGACAACAGATGCTCTTTCATAGAGCTTTATTCAAAACATAAGGACCCTGATACAACTAAACTCAAGACATAGTAAGCTACATGCTCCCCCCTATTAACCAAACAAGATTAGAAAGGATAGGTTGGGGAAGACAAGTAGTCAGAGATTTCCCCTTCATCTCCACCTAACTCTTCCTCCATATCAGCAGTGCTGAGACCATCTTCAGGATCTTCGGGTTCATCTACTAAGATCTCTGCAGGAACTGCAGGACCATCTTCAGGTTCAGCTGCTAAGGACTCTGCAGGAACTACAGGACCAGTCCTGTCTCCCACTAAAGCATTGGCCTGAGGACGACGGCGGCGAACAAAGGCATGAACCTTGCAGAGAACAAACTGAGCGCGAAGGGTGTCGATAAGATTGACCCGAGCCACTTTGTAGCGAAGATCAAACTTATCATCACAGTAATGGAGCATGTGATTAAACATGACATGGGGATAGCTGATGGGACGGTTTTCTTTGGCACTAGCAAGGATCTACATATCCATGGGGTAAATCCTGTTGAGACCGTGAGAGCGAGGGAGGAAAACACAAGTGATGAAGAAAAGGAGCACGTTGAGATCGTCAGGAAGCCGTCCACTAGCAAGTCGTGAAGGATAGTATTCACCCGTATCCCTTGTGTACAATCGAATGGCTTCAACTTCATTGAAGCCAACTTCCTGGAAGTCCTCTTCATCCAGAACTTCAGCACCAGCAATGGGGTACCCGAGAAGATATGACAAAATGTCAACAGAGATTGTGAGTAGATAGTTGTAGACCACAGTGGTGAATGTGGGAGGATCGGTGTTAAAACAAGGTTGCATGTTGGCATAAAACATGCGTACAGCTTCTGGACGAAAGCTGTAGCACTGATCCAGTGGGAGATCTGACCATCCAACAGCATTGATCAACCCAAGAATGTTCATGTCATACCGGTTGAAGCGAGCTGGATCGAGCGAGATAAAGGGGCATAGAGGGCGATCCTGGAACTTGATGAGGTATCGAGCGTAGTCTTCCGCACTTCTGAATCCTTTTCCAATAAAAATGGCTGCTTGAGCCAGATGCAAGGGAACATGAGGATTGATTCCGGCCATACTGAATTGAGAGAGCACATCACCTTTTTGGATAGAAGCTTTTAGATAGGATGAGAGGACACACTGGTCCACGAGAGTATAAATAACCTTGCTGCAGAGTAGGAGTTTTAGGTAAGAAGAATACAAAGAGATAGAGAAAGGAAGGATGGAACTAAGAGAGAAGGAAAATATTCCTGGCACTTATTGCAGAAAGGAAATGTGGTAAGACTTGGTACTAAAGAATAGGAAGTGACGACTCCAAAGAGGGATACTCACTTAAATTCAGAATCACTTCATATTCTCAAGCTCTGACCAGGAAAACATGCCTAACTCACGACGATTAGAGAGAAACAGATCTGAGCCCAAAGGCTTAGTAAAGATATCAGCCCATTGGCTGGAAGTGGGAACAAATTCCAAAGAAATGTGGCCTTCTTAGACCAACTCTCTAATGAAGTGATATCTAATTTCTATGTGTTTTGTTCGTGAATGCATAATGGGATTTTTGGTCATATTGATGGCACTAGTATTGTCATAAAGAACGGGAAGAGTGCCTAAGTGAAGACTATAGTCTCGGAATTGGTACTTCATCCACAGAAGCTGAGTACAGCAGCTTCATGCTGCAATATACTCTGCTTCTGCTGTAGACAAAGCAACAGAATTTTGTTTCTTGCTATACCAAGAGACAAGAGAGGACCCTAGGAAATGGCATGTACCCGAAGTGCTTTTTCTGTCAATGGTACAGCCAGCATAGTCTGAATCCGAGTATCCTATCAAGTCTAAGCTCGATAGATACCATAGACCCAAGTCAAGGGTACCACTGAGATAATGAAAGATTCTTTTGACTACAGTTAAGTGACTCTCCTTAGGAGAGCTCTGAAACCGAGCACACACACACACACACACACACACACACACACACACTGAACATGATATCAGGATGGCTGGAAGTAAGATACAATAAGGACCCTATCATTCCTCTATAAAGCCTATCATTAATGGAAGTACCAGATTCATCTGTATCGATCTTTAAAGAGGAAGCCATAGGGGTGAGAGCAGATTTAAGATTCCCTAGATCAAAAGGCTTAATCATGTTAATTACATACTTCGACTGATTGATAAAAATTCATTGGGGAGTCTGTTTAATCTGAAGACCTAGAAAGTAGTTCAGTTCCCCCATTAAACTCATCTCAAAAGCACTCTTCATTTTTTACTCGAAATCTCTACACAAACTTTCACAAGTAGCACCAAAGATTATATCGTCAACATACACCTGAACAAGAATAATGTGATCCTCTAGCTGTTTGATAAACAGGGTTTTGTCTACGAGACCTCTTCTAAATCCATTTTCTAACATAAAAGAACTTAGTTTGTCATACCAAGCTCTAGGAGCTTGTTTTGCCCTATACAAAGCCTTTTTAATTTATAAACATGGTTAGGAAATCTATGATCTTCAAACCCTGGAGGCTGGGACACAAACACTTCTTCTTTTAAATCTCCATTAAGAAAAGCACTTTTGACATCCATCTGATACAGTTTAAAACGCTTAGAACTAGCAAAAGCACACAGCAAACGAATAACTTCTAGACGTGCCACGGGAGCAAAAGTTTCATCATAGTCTATCCCTTCATCTTGGCAATACCCTTGAGAAACTAATCTAGACTTGTTCCTAAACGTAGTTCCTACTTCATCTAATTTGTTTTTGTAAATCCACTTTGTACCAATTATTACACGATTCTCAGGTTTAGGAACGAGTCCCACATATTAGCACGTTCAAACTGGTGCATTTCATCAAACATTGAGGCAGTCCAGAATTCATCTTGAAGAGCTTCATGCACATTTTTTGGTTCAACTAAGGACACATAAGCAACAAAAGATGGTAGAGCCTTTGATCGAGTAATCATACCTTGATTAATGTTTCCTATGATCTGTTCAGGGGGATGTCACTTCACAATGTAGGCAGGAGGATGAGCATATGAGTCTGCTATCTTGGTCCTTTCCTCTGATTGCATCTCGATGGCTTTATTTTTATCGATTGCTTCTTCTTGCCTTTTGTCTCCTTGTACAACTTTAATACCAACTTCTTTATTTGCTGACGCCTGCCTTCCAAGCCCAAAGTCATCATCATCATAGACATCTCCTCTTACAGAAACAGATTCATCAAAAATTACATTAACGGACTCCTCAACTTTGAGGGTCCGTGTATTGAACACTCGATAGGCCTTGCTAGTGATGGAGTATCCTAAAAACACAGACTCATCGGATTTTGAGTCAAATTTTCCCAGGTGATCTTTTGTATTTCAACACAAAACATTTGCAGCCAAACAGGTGAAAATAACCTAGATTAGGTTTTCTTCCCTTCCAGATTTCATAAGGGGTTTTATTCACACCTGATCTGATTAAAGCTCGGTTAACAGTATAGCAAGCTGTGTTTATAGCCTCCGTCCAGAAGTACTTAGGAATACCATAATCATGAAGTATGGTGCGAGCAATGTCTATAAATGTTCTATTTTTCCTTTCTACAACCCCATTTTGTTGTGGAGTTCTAGGCGCAGAAAAATTATGAGAGATACCTAGATCATTGCAATATTGTTCAATGGAGTCATAGCAAAACTCTCCTCCATGGTCACTTTGAATGCTACAAACTTTAGCCAATGTTTCATTTTCAATACGTTTGACTAGGATTCTGAAGTTATCAAAGGCTTCATCCTTCTTACTTAGAAACAATACCCAGGTAAATCTAGAATAATCGTCAACTACAATAAACGCATAAGACTTCCCACCATAACTCACCACATTTGTGGGTCCAAATAAGTCAAATGAAGTAACTCTATAGGTCTAGAGGTAGAAATGAAAGATTTAGTTTTAAAGCTAGACCTGGTTTGTTTACCCTTAGCACAAGCATCTCAAAAAAAAAATCCTTTTCTCATTAATTTTAGGGAGACCTTTGACCAGATTTAGACGAACTAATTTAGACAGAACACTAACATTCACATGACCCAGCCGTCTATGCCATTCTTCCTGATCACTTTTATCAATACTAATCAAACAAGTTTCATTGAAACTGTCCTTGTCATTTAAGTCAATCGTGTAAATTTTCCCATTTCTTTTTCCAGTGAACAGAACTTGTTTGTTCAGAATGTTTTCTACATAATATCAACTAGGTTCAAACACCACTCTGCAAGCCTTTCCACACATTTGACTGATAGACAGGAGGTTATGTTTCAGCCCGTCAACCAGCATAATATTTTTTATGCACGGATCAGTTCCTACTTGACCCTTCCTTATGATGTGAGCCGAGTTATTATCTCCAAAGTAGACATTACCAAAATCTCTTAGACTAAGGCTAGAGAACAGATTCTTATTACCTGTCATATGATGTGAGCACCCGCTTTCCATGATCTATCTGGTTGTCTCTGTGCTCACTTGAAGACAACTTTGTTTTGAATTGCTGTTTGGCTCAAGTGGCTCCTCCTCGACTTCAGCAATTGCCATGTACGATCTCTGGATGATTACTTCATCGTCATCCTCCATTTCATCCTCACTACAGCTCCACGTAGCTGCCAAGGCTCTCTCCTTTTTGAGTTGTGGACACTCAGCCTTGATATGTCCTGCTCGGCCGCATTTGAAACACCCTGTTGAACTTAAACTTTTCATGTTCTGACTGGTATCAGCTCTACCTCTTGGAAAGCTTTTGATTTGATTTCCTTTCGTCCCGCTTTCATTTCTCTCTAGATCTTTGAACTTGCTTCCTAAATTCCCATATCTCTTTTCCCTTCGGATTTTAAGCAATCTGCTGACTTGCTTACTTAGCAACGCCAATTCTTCGTCTTCCATATCGTCTAAATCTTCGGAATCGTCTAGTGAAGTGATTGCTTTGAACGCAACACCTCTTTTTCCCTTTTCATTGCTTTCCTTTTCTTGAACAACCTTGTTAAGTTTATCTTCATGAGCAACCAGAGATCCAATCAGCTCATCAATTGATATTTTTTCCAAGTCCTTACCTTCCTCAATGGCTGTGACCTTTGGTGTCCACTTGTATGGAAAACTCCACATGATCTTCCTCACAAGATCCCCACTTTCGTAATAATTTCCTAGATTCTCAAAACTATTCACTATGTTAGTGAATCTTTCGTACATCTGCCTGATTATTTCTCCTTCTTCCATTTTGAATAACTCAAATTGATGCTTCAAGGAATTTATCTGTGAGGTTTTAACCTGAGAAGTACCTTCGTATGTCACTTGAAGCTTGTCCCAAATTTCCTTTGCGGTCTTGCAGCCTGCCACCTTGTGATACTCTTCTGGTCCAAGAGCACAATACATCAAATTTGTGGCTTTACAGTTCTGCTGGAATTTCTCGAAATCTTCATTAGTCCACTTCTCTTCATCTTCTTTGAGTTTGTGCGGTTCTTTAATAAGTCTGGCCCAAAGTTTTGGACCAGTCGATCCCACGAACAACTCCATAAGATTCTTCCAGTAACCGTAGTTAACTCCTTCGAATCGTGGTGTTCCATTCTGCGAAAATCCATCGGCAAGGTAGAGGGGAGCGTTGCTTGCTGATCCTGAAGCCATCTCTGGATTCTCCGGAGGATGTTTAGCCTTTTTCAACGGAGCCAGGCTCTGATACCACGTGTTGATGGCGTTGAGCGCGAGATGCCTGCTCCTCTTTGAGGCTTCTTCCTCCCCTGCTCACCTGAAACCCTAAATCGACTTTTGCCAAGAACAGGTGAAGAACAAAGAAGAACTGGAAGAAATGTACGAAGTGTAAACAATAAAGAAGAGAAGTATGATTTGGGTCTATCTTTCTCTGTGAATGGGCTTGGTTCCTTTGGCCCAGTCAGTTGTTTGTTCCGGCCCAAAAGTATTGCACTGTCAAGTTATTATTCCCAAAGCTGTGCGTTTCAAAATTGCAGACCCAACTACTTCTTCTTGTTTCTCTGAATCAAATCCTCTGTTTGCAGATTAACACACTGAAACTTGCAGAAGCAGAGTAAGTTTTGATCACAAGCTATAAGCAATAAAGGATAAATGAACACAGTCACTATTTACGTGGTTTCCAGAGCTTGGTAAAAATGAATCCCAACTCTGACTATTCCACGGTCGGAGGATCACGTTGAGGTGATTTCCGACGTTCCACTAAGTTCGAAGTTCCTTGAAGTTTCACAAGCATACAACACCAAAATCAAACAATCCAATCCTGGAAAGTTGATTGATTCGACTCAACCCTGATATCTCACCTAGCTATCCAGCTACTGTGTTTTAATCAACATCCCCCTAACCCAATTTCTCTCCAGAAGATGAATTAGTCCATCTTTTCTTATCAATCACACTAGCTATGATCTTAGCTCTCCCTGTATGAGTGATCTCCCGAAAAGTGCCCATCTACTTGCTTCATTCAGCCTTTTATTCTGGAACTATTGTGTCGTTACTCCTTGCTTTCCTTTTCTTCCTTGAATTGGTTTATGGTAAGCACTTGAAAACTTTCCTTCTTGTATTTTAAGACCGTTCCCAGCATTCTTGTTCTTCACGAAACTTAAGCACGCTTTAGCCCTCTTGACAAGCTGCTTCCAACAGTGTTTATTGCATTTACAGTTTGCATCTTTAGGTTACCCACCTAGATTCGATGGTTAAGATTGAAGAAAATGATGTACTTTCGCACATTAATCACCACCAGTACTTGTACTTGGCTTCTTTTGTGATCATGTTGTCTAGTTAATCCTTATCTGGTAGCATTCTTCTTACTAAGCATGAATGTGTTGTATTCTCCAATCTAGTCTAAGAAGAGTTGAGCTGACTGGTTGCACCTTAGCTTGTGTTGTTTAACGTTTACTCCCCTTCTCATTTGGTCGATCTTGATCCATATCCGATTGTGGGTTCCATTTGGTTTTGGGGTTTTCCGTATCTCCTTTCACTTGTAATCAAAGTGATCATATTACTGAAATTGCAACCAATCCTATTTTCGTTTATGCAGTGTGACACCTAGAGGTGGCAAACCTAATCCAATCCATCAATCCAGTCCAGTCCAATCCATTTAAATTGGATCCAAGTCCATTTAAATTGATCTAAGTCCATTTAGTCCAAATCCATTTAATCCATGGATTAATGGATTGGATTCATGGATCCATTAGCAATCCACCAATCCAATTACTCTTTGAACGAAGATAGAGTCGGAAACTCTCCCCAAACCCACCGCAACCTCGTCTCCTGCAAGGGTTCTTTCGGCGGCGTCTTCGCCGCCTCCCTCTCCCCTCTCTATCCATTTCTCGTCCAGCTCCGGTCAATTACTCCATTCGCCAAAACGCTTGAAGAAGCTTTGTTCGTCGCTACTCAGCTCCAACGTCTCAAGGTTCGTCAAACCCTCTTTCACCATTCTTCTTCTTCTTCTTCTTCCCCTAGTCACCTTCGTCAAACCCTCTTTCTCTCTTCTGTTCGAACGGATTGTGAGGGGTTTAGACTTTAGGGTCTTGGAGATTTCTCTGGAGGTGGGACGGCTTGGAGTTCTTTTCTTTAGCGCCAATCCAACTTCCTCTTAGCCCTTTTATTGGTACGCGTCTGCTAGCAGAAAAAAAAGCCTTTCCCTTCTTGCCATTCTGGATAAGTAGATTCTCTCCTCGACTTGTCGATTGGGAAATTGGGTTTTTGCAGATTCCATACTTGGAGGCCTCCTGAGCTTCTTCATTCTCCTGTAAAAAATGGATTTTGAGGGTTTTCTTAGCTGTTGTTTTCCTTTCGGGAAGGGTTTCCGGGTAGCTCTGTTTAATACACAGAGGCAGAGAAAGGGAAAAAAGAGGGGGAGAGAGACAGGGTTTCTGGGTAGCTCTGTTTAATCCCTTGAAGATCTATGGCTTTGCTCTCTAAATCTCTGATCCATGCAAGTCTCAAATGAGGCCTATTCATATAACAGAACCGAATTACAAAAGCAAATATCATGATTTCTATTGGGTGTTTTGGTTAAGTTTGTAGTTGCATGTTCTCCAATATAGATAGCGGTTTCTTGATTGGAATAGGTAGAATTATTATAATGTTTGGTAGTTGGCGGATGTGAGCAGATGTGTCCATGCCATTTCTAGAGTTTGTAGGCCAATGTAGAGTTGTCTAGAGGATTATGGAATTGGTGAATTAACGCTTTTGACAAATTTTAAGGTTTTCTTGATTTTTATTTCGAATCTGATAGTAGCTTGTTATTTTATCTCAAAGTGATGACAATGCTTTGTTCTATTGGGATCTTTGATTCTGTTTCAGGATGACAAGTCAACAAATAAATGTTACAGGCAACGTTGATGGTGGTAGTTCAGAAGATGAGGATAATTTAGCAACTATGTCAACTTCTACGGGCCGAACAAGTGGGCACAAAAAGCGGCAAAGAACTTCTAAAGCATGGGAGACATTTAATTATATCCCTGGGAACCAATTTGCAGACAACAAATCAAGAGCTCAATGCAAAAACAATCCCATGCTTTATGTGGCAAATAAAGGTATTTCTAATCTCATTCGTCATAGCCATAATTGTATTGGACATGAAACTGAAGTGCCGGTGTTGGGCGTTGGAAACTCGAAAGCAATAGATCAAAATAAATTTAAGGAGCTAATGGCTATGGCTATCATAAAACATGGGTATGAATTTGCTATAGTTGAGCATGGTGGACTTCAGAATGTGATGGCCTACTTGAATGATAATTTTAAGTCATTTACTAGGAACACTGCTAAGTCTCATTGTTTGAAGATCTATAAGAGGGAAAAAGAAAAGTTGAAGACTATCTTGAGCGAGGTTCCTGGCAGACTTTGTTTGACTTGTGATTTGTGGACTTCTTGTGCTACAGAAGGAAATCTTTGTCTTACAGTTCACTATGTGGATTCTGAATGGAGGTTAACTACTAAGATCTTGAATTTCTGTCATATTCCCCCTCCACATAGTGCAATAGTTTTGTTTCATGCTGTGTATGATATATTATAAGAGTGGCAAATTGAGAAGAAGATATTTTCAATAACATTGGATAATGCTAGATGCAATGATGTTATGCAAAGTTTGTTGATTGATCGATTGAAAGAGGATGATGGTTTGGTATGTGATGGGAATTATTTTCATATCCGTTGTGGAGCACATATTCTAAACTTGATTGTGAATGAAGGGTTAAAACAGATTCGTGCTTCGATAGATATAATTAGGGAGTGGGTGAAATATGTCAAGGGTTCTGAATCTCGAATGATTGTCTTTGAAGATTGTGCCAAAAGAAGCAATTGTTTAAGCTCGAAAGGGTTGTGGTTAGATTGTCTGACTAGATGGAACTCAACATACATGATGCTTGAAAGGGCTGAGCTCTATCGTCGTGCTTTTCAGCATTTGAATTTGGTTGATAGAAACTTTGATCGATTTTCCGCATATGTGGAATGGGATAAGATCACAAAAATTAAGAGGATTTTGAAACCGTTTAATGACATCACTAACCTATTTTCTGGAGTTCATTATCCTACTTCAAACTTGTACTTCTGCTACGTATGGAGGATTCAGATGCGGTTGATGGAGGCATCTAGAAGTATGGAGAGTGATATTCGCAATATGGGTTTAGCAATGAAGAAAAAATTCGATAAGTATTGGGACTCCTATAGTACGATTCTCTCTATGGCAGTGGTTTTTGATCCACGATACAAGTTCGATTCTGTGTATTTTTGTTATGAGAAGTTGTACGGGGATAAAGAAGTTGCTAAAGCAGAGTGTTCTGAGCTGAGAGGAAAGATATGTGATCTACTGAAGGTGTATGGTGATCCTGCTGGTCAATCTTCATCACTTGCTGAGGATATTGCTGAAGATGTGGACTATTGTGATGATATGGATGTAAGTAAGCTTCTTAAGTTTTCTTTCCCCTAATCCATTTTGGTTACTAATATGAGATATTTGTTTAATAGGAGTTAGATTCATTTGGAGAAAATCAGTTCTTAGGCGATAGAACACAATTAGATGAATATCTGGATGATAAGAGGCTCAAGCGCAAACAACCATTGGATGTCCTTCTCGGGTGGAAGAATAATGAATCTAGATTCCCAGAGCTTGCTCACTTGGCCAGAGATGTTTTGAGCATTCCTATCACAACCGTAGCATCAGAGTCGGCATTCAGTATGGGTGGTAGAGTTTTAAATAGTTGGCGGAGCACTCTTTTACCTGAAAATGCCGAAGCCTTAATTACCACTCGTAATTGGTTATACGGATTTCCAAGTAAGCTAATTAATAATATATATTGCTTTATGATTGGTTCAATCTAATTCATTATTAAGTTACATTTGAATCAGGTGGTGATGATGATAATGGACTTGAGGTGAAGATTTCGAAGACTTTTGGAGCATCCTCAGTGGCCTCTGATTGTACTCCTCTCTCAGATGAATGATAATTTTGGGTGAAGTCTTGCTGTGGAAAGCTGCTGTACTAGTCTAGATGGAGTTGTTGGAGGCCTAGCATTATGCTGTTGATGATGAGATGATGTAGATGTTGGAAATTTTGATGTGTGTTTCATATGAATTTTCTTGTCATTATGGAATCATGGAAACTGTGATGTGGGTTTGATATGTACAACTTTCTTGCATTGTTTTCATGAGTTAGCTTTTGTAGTTTTGGTGTTTGGGAGAAGGAGATTCAATGTTCTGTTGAGAAGCAGCCTCTCTTGCTGCAGAACAGGGGGGAAAATGCATGTGTGAATACTTTATTGAGACAACATTTACCCATTGCTCCCAATTCAAACTTAGCCCTTTTATGATGAATACTTAGCATTTTATTATATACTAGCAGCATATAATTTTTTTATTGTTCAGGCACAAATATCTATATACAGCCTGCAAATGCACAGACAAATCGAGTAAGAACAAGTCTTAAACAGATCAGTTTCATTTCATTTCTGCCTCCCTCCATTACTCCCAAATCATCAAAAATATCAGCGGCCCTTCTTCGCCAGAGGATTGATTGATCAACAATTCAAGGTGGACCTCTTCGACGAGCAATTTGAAGTCATGGTGATCGAGGCCGGAATTATGGGTAGTTGCACCTCGTACCAACCAGCCAAGAGAGCTCCGAAGGTACTACTGCGCCATGACCATTGAATCATTCAGACTCTAGTTTCGATTTTGAACGAGAATGAATTCCATTCTTCAGAGTTTTTTTCGAGAGGGAGCTACTCAAGGTCGTGGCTGAGCCCCTCCGGTTTTCTTCTCCCACGCCGCGACGAGTTGAGTCTATATATCACATTATGCCCTTAGGTTTTTGCTAGTATTCGACTCTCTATGATCAGAAGAAAGGCAGAGAAAAAACAAAGAAAAACAGGGGAAAGAAAAAACAGAGTCGCTCTGTTTTCTAGTTTGGGTGGTGGGCTGCTGTTGTCACCAGCCTTGCGCTGCCGGAGCTGTTGTCGCCAGCCTTGCGCTGCAAGAGCAGACAGAGTACTCTCACGGATGTAGCTCTCCGAATCCTACCAGTCCAAAAGTAGACAAAATTTCAATATTTAATCCATGAATCCAATCCACGAATCCACGGATCCATTTCAATCCAATCCACGAATCCACTTGAATCCAATCCACGAATCCACTTGAATCCAATCCACGAATCCACGGATCCAATCCACGAATCCGATCCAATTGCCACCTCTAGTGACACCAGTGCCCGTGATTACAGACAACCCGAAAATAGGAGGCAACCCCACAACCTCAGTCCCAAACCCTAACAGTCCTTAATTCCAATGGAGTCGGAGTAGGAGGAGGGCTTGGGAGCGGCGTGGGGCCATCTGGTGGCGAGATCCCAGACATGAGCGATGCTTCTGCTCCCCCCTTCACGCCACCCTTCTTCTCCCCTCCTCTCACTCTTACCGTCTCCCTCTGTTGCTTCTTCTTTGCAGGCCGTCTCCATGCTTTCTAAATTCAGTTGCTATTGATGGACCCTCTTTTTTGCCTTTGTAGTAGCCGGTTGTTTGTTGAAGGACACAGTTCCCAGTGCTATCATCTATTGTTAGTATTGATCAATTAGTGGAAGATAGGATGAGGTGTAGTAAGCTCCGTCACTATCCAAATTTAGAGTTATGTTAGATTCCATATATAGCACATGTGATTCTACTGCTCGATCTATTTTCTTCTTCTTTTATGTATCTTTCTTATTGCTTTCTTCTTCTTCTTCTTCTTCTTCTTCTTCTTCTTCTTCTTCTTCTTCTTCTTCTTCTAACGAGCAGTTTCGTTCTGAACCGTTTTACCCAACCTGTTTGAACTATTTTGGATAGAATTGTTAAAACAAAGCCCGACCTGACTAACCCGCGCGATCAACCCGACCCGCAACCCGATCATAACCCGAATTGGCTAAAAGTCAATGATTTGTGACCCACCCGGCCCATAACTTGATTGACCCGCAACTCGATTAAACCTGTAACCTGACCGACCCGAACCCAACTAACTCGTAACCTAATCGACCCACCCGATCCACCTAAATAATTATTATATTATGCAATATTTAGTCTTTCAAGATGAAGTTTTTCATTCTATACCTAGGTAAAATCATTTTTTCATTTCGTATAGAAAACTTAAAAAATATGAAAGTCACTTGAAATTACGTATTTTAATAAAATTAAAAAAATTGAAACGTAAAGGTCACTTGAACACTAAATTATTTAACTAAATAAATATATATATGAAATATAAAATCAACACAATATAAATATTGATAATGAATAATGAATTATTGTGATAATTGACATATTAATATAGTATATATAAATTTTAATTTTTGTTAATATAACTTTCCAACAAAGTTACCAATTAAATATAAATAGAGTAAAGTCATGCATTTGGTAAATTAATGATTTTTTAAAATAAGAGAGAAATTTTGGCATTTTCAAATTTTTGGAATGATAAAGAATAGAAAATTTTTATACTTTCAATTTTTTAGAAAAGAAAGAGGGAGACTGTTGGTGTTTTTGATTTGTGGGAAGAGAAATAAGTGGAAAAATTTTCTTCTTTTGATTTATGAAAAGAGAAATGAGGAGGGAAATTTTGTTTTTCGAACTTTTTGAGGAAGGAAAAGAGAGAAATTTAGTTCTTTCAATTTTATGGAAAAAAAGAGGAAGGAAACTTGAGTGCTTCTAATTTATGGAGCAAAATATATTTGTGAAAAGAAAGAATTAAATATATTTGGTTTTTTCAAATTTTTTTGTTTCATCATTTTTGCTTTTCAAGTATGAATGTTTAATTTTTATATGGAGGGCATGACTAATTGACTGTATTATAGTCTTATTTGGAAGGGCTATTTAACTATATTAGAATTGACTACATATCATGAGTTTTCTTATTTTCAATATAATATCACTCGAATTATCTTAAATGCATGTTATTTTATATTATAAATCATATATTTAATTACTAATCAATTTAGTTATCACAATTTTTACGTTTGAAATATGACGATTTAGGAGTTTAACATTTAGTGAGTAAGTCATTGTCTAAAGTAAACTTTAATATAGTTTTGTAAGAGCATATGATTAATTGGATATAGTAGATTTGAGAACATATCATGAGTTAAGAGTTTAACATTCAGTAGCTAAGACATTGTCTATAGGAGAACCTATCATGAGTTAGGATTATTGATTAACAACGTTTGCAAAATAAATTAGGATTATTGATGGACAACGCTTGCAAAATTCTACCATGAACCTTAATTCATTTTTCTTGTTAACAAAATATTTTATCATTAACACATAAGAGATTAAGCCTATAATTTATTTTTTTATATATTTCATGTCTTTTTTTGTTACTCAATTTCCTTTCCTTTGCAAAATGTTGGCCAATTTTATTTATTTTTTATAATGGTGAAAGCTGCCCAATTTTCTTTTTGCTTGATAGATATTGTCACCCAACTTCTTCCTTCCCGCTCAAAAAGGCCACCCAATTTTTGTTTGGATTGATCTATATTGCCGCCCAATTTTTGTTTGGGTTAATCTATATTGCTACACAAAAATATTGAGATAGGAAAAGGTATTTTTTTATTTTTTTGTTTTTAGAGTGGGGTTCTGTTTTTTGAATGTATGGTATGTTAGTAGTGTCTGTTGGTTGCAAATGTTGATATCACAATTATTCGCTAGTGTACTTTACCAATTACGATTAAATATATGACAAGTTTGCAAGTTATACAAATTGATTCAACATTTTGACTATTTTTTTTTAAGTTTAAGTATATATACTAGGTAGAGAGAAATTGGTTAAAAATTTTGAAAACCATTTTGAATTAGTGTTATAAAATGTGTAAGTTCGTAACGAGGAAGGAGTAAGTAACTCGATGTGCTTACCCGAATAACCCGCAACCCGATTGAACCCAAACCTGACTCACCCGCAATTCGATTGAACCCGAACCCGATTGAACTAGACCTAATGAATCCGCAACCCTATTGCACCCAACCAAACCCACCCGATAGCTTTGGGGCGGGTGAGGCGGAACAGGCATATTTACTCTCATCGACCCAACCTGACCTGACCTACCCAAAATCAGAAAAATAGACGCAATATCTACACTGCTCAACAAATTTATATATTATAGTAGATACAATTCTTGAAATGATCACATATTCGATTTATAACCTTGTTCTTGATCTAACTCAAATATGGAAAAAACTCTCCAAACCCTTGTCGTGCAACCATAAAAACAATACAAATTTAGGGTAGCCCATAATAAGTTTAATCATTAGGTTTTGAAAATAGTTGGTGGTAAGGAAAGCGATTTTACTACATTGTGTTTAAAATAAAACAACAAATAAGTTGCAATCTAATGGAGAATATGTTTAATAATAATAATAGTGTCATAGGTTTGTATTACACAAACTAGCACATATATTTTTGGGCTAATACCACTAGAAATACCAATCTTTAGCGAAAGTGACATTTATATTACGTAACTATTGATATGGCATTTGAATACTAACCATTAAGTTTTCCGTTAGTGATTAACAGAAGAATATACATACAGTCAGCAATGACATGGCTACAAATATGAAAAATTGTAAAAACAAAAGAAAAAAAGTACAACCCATCCCTAACCCTCCACTAGACCCCTTCTCCTTCACCATCCCCGAGCCCCTTTTCCCCAGCTCCAATTGAAACGTCGTTTTGGATCTAATCCGGGCGGCTGCAACAAGCAGTCGATGGTGGTTTTGATTCAGCAAACGAGAGCAACCACTGATCCACGTTGAAACTTTTCCCAGCGAAGCTCCTCCCCTCCTCTATTGTCAACATCAAATCTAGAATGGCAGAAAGTTCAACAAAATCAATGTCTAGAGATGAACTTTTCTTTGCAGCTGCGCTTTTTTTTTTTTTTTTTTTTTTTGCGAGTGCCTTTATCATCGACTTAGCCGATGCGGTTGGGTTCAAC